GCAACATCTTGTTGAGAGAAATCATGTCTCTGCTGTGTGTTGACAAAGCATTCACCGGCTCCTGTGGCACAGAGCAATTCATCAGGATGAAACCAAGCTGTCTCATGCATACATAGTAAATGATGATGCTGATAATATCATCTTCAGGGAGAAGATACCTAAAAGAATAATGGTCCATCTTCTGTTGTTGTTGTTAGTTGCGAAGTCGTGTCCGACCCATTGCGACCCCCAAGTTCCTCCAGGCCTTCCTGTCCTCTACCATCTTCTGGAGTCCATTTAAGTTCACACCTACTGCTTCAGTGACTCTATCCAGCCACCTCATTCTCTGTCGTCCCCTTCTTCTATTGCCCTCCATCTTTCCCAGCATCAGGCCCTTCTCCAGTGAGTCCTTCCTTCTCATTAGGTGGCCAAAGTATTTGAGTTTCAACTTCAGGATCTGGCCTTCTAAAGAGCAGTCGGGGTTGATCTCTTCTAGGACTGACTGGTTTGATCGCCTTGTAGTCCAGGGGACTCACAGGAGTCTTCTCCAGCACCATAGTTCAAAGGCCTCAATTTTTTGACGCTCAGCCTTTCTTATGGTCCAACTTTCACAACCATACATTGCAACTGGGAAAACCATGGCCTTGACTATAGGTACTGTACTTTTGTTGGCAGGGTGATGTCTCTGCTTTTTAGTATGCTGTCTAGATTTGCCATAGCGTTCCTCCCCAGGAGCAAGCGTCTTTTAATTTCTTGGCTGCAGTCCCCATCTGCGGTGATCTTGGAGAGGAGATTCTACACAAAAGGAAAAAAAAGGCAAACGCTTCTTAAAACGTGGATTAAAAATGAAAAATAAATGTGACAGATAGACAAACGTCTCTCAGGCCCAAGCCCAAAGAACAGACAACGAGATCCAATAGAGTTCAATCCTTCATTAGCTTAATCGACAGAATCTTGCCAAACTAAAGCTATAATCTTCTAAGCCACTAGAGATATACTTTCAAAGGTGTGGTATTCTGAGCCTCTTCCCCCTCTTCCCTGTCCAGCTCAGGACTGTGCCGCCTCTTAATGTAGCCTTTTTCTGGGAAAGCTCTGGGTTGCCAAAACTCTCCCCTTCTGCTTCTCAAGTGCGTGTTCAATCACACAATCTTTCCCAAGCTTCAGACAACTGAAGGGATAAAAAGGGACAGAATTGTTCTCCAAGACATTAGGAAGATGAGGCTTGTCATGGTTGGAAACCAAAGTGACCCAAGTCAAAACAAGAGGAGGAATAGGATATGGAGAAGAGAAGAAGAAAAAGTTGAGGAGGAGGAGGAGGAGCAGGATGAGGAGGAGAAAGAGGAAGAAAAAGAAGGAGAAGGAGAAGAACAAGAACAAGAAGAACAAGAAGAAAAAGAAGAAAAAGAAGGAGGAGGAGGAGAAGAAGGAGGAGGAAGAGGAGAAGGAGGAGGAGGAGGAGCAGGAGGAGGAGGAGGAAGAAGAAGAAGAAGGAGGAGGAGGAGGAGGAGGAGGAGAAGAGGAAGAAGAAGAAGAAGAAGAAGAAGAAGAAGAAGAAGAAGAAGAAGAAGAAGAAGAAGAAGAAGAAGAAGAAGAAGAAGAAGAAGAAAGAGGAGGAGAAGGAGGAGGAGGAGGAGGCTGTCATAGTAGATGTGGTCAGTCACAAAACATGTTTGGAAAAAAAACATGATGCTTTGCTAGCTTGCATGGACCTCATTTGACTCTGATGATGCTCAATATTACTCCAGCAGATCCACTGAAAGGTTTTTTTTTATATATATAGAAAAGAGAAAGCTGAAAGTACAAAAAAAAAAAAGACACAAAGAAATAGGTTCCAATCTTCTTTACATAAATTCATAAATACACCTATAAATGTGCATCTTTCTCTAAAGTTACATCATGTCCCTCTTCCTTCTATAATCTATCCCATCTAGTTATCAAAACTATAGCTTTCTCTAATCAAAGAAAACCATTTGGCCATCTCAGTAACAGAGCTTTTTTTTTTTTTTTTGGGTAAAGGCTCCTAGGCTTGTTTAAATCAGATTTGATTCAATTCATTTAGAAAATGAGGCATAATTGAATTGAATATCTAAAACATTTCAGTTGGGAAGCATCGACTTGACTAAACAAATTGAATCAATGTGAAGTCCAGTTGGATTTGGGTAGAACAGTCTTCTTTGGATCTGCTCATGTTATTTAATCCAATCTGATGCATCAAATCCATTTGTCTATTCAATCTGACAGGTTGATTCAATCTGTCAAATTTGCCCAATCAAAGTGCCAAGATTTGCAATATCTAGTGACAGATTTACAAACAGAGTTCTCAGCTGCAGATATCTACTGTATTAATTTTAAAAAAAGCTCTGAGCCTCGGGACATGATTGGAGATACACACTGTTTGAAGCTGGGCCTGTGCTTTGCAGCATGCTAGCTAAATCTTTTCTTGGCGAAACACGAAAGAGTTATAGAAAAGATGTTAAGATACCATGTTGCAATGAATAGACATTTAGTATGAACTTAATTTATTTATCTGGATGTGTGAACACATCAGCCCACAGTCCCTTTCTAAGAATTAATTTATTTATCAGATTGTAATTCTAACTTTATTTTTTTATATAAATAACTAATGGATGCAAACATACCTAATATTCCTGTTGAAAGAAAATCTTCATCAGGGTCTAGTCCAAGCCGGGGATAAACAAAATGGAGCCTGCTTTTGAAAGAAGGTTGCCATTTATTGAAGAACAGAACCACAACAGCATGTGGCTCTGGAGCAGCTGAACAACTGATTTGAGGAGTACAAGGATTTTTATACAGTTTTACAGCATTTCGTAAATTGGAGGCTTGCTGTGTGAACATTTGTTATTAGATTTGTTTAGCTTGTTTCATAAAGGTTAGTAATGGGACTAAAATACTTATTTCCTTGGTCCTAATCCTGTCAAACAAATGTAATTAATTTTACCCCCTTATCTTTAGTTTGTCTATTAAAGGGGTCTTCAAACTTGGTCATTTTACGACTTGTGGACTTCAACTCCCAGAATTCCTCAGCCAGCATGCCTGGCTGAGGAATTCTGGGAATTGAAGTCCACAAGTCATAAAAGGGCCACGTTTGAAGACTCTTGGTCTATTACCTCCATTCAGCTCTCTTTGTGAATCAACAGGCCTGATTCCATGTTTCTGCTTTTCGCAATAGCCAGGGATTTCATGAGAGAAACATTGCTTCTGTATTTCTTTTCTGAGTTTTATTCTTGTGATTTGGGGAGCAAAGTAAAAAGGATTGGGGGGAATGCATTCTTAGCACATCCCTTCCTCCTTCTATTTTCCCCAGAACAACAACCCTGTGTAGTGGATTGGGCTGAGAGAGAGGGACTGGCCCAAAGTAACACAGCCAACTTCTATTTATAAGACAGGATTAGAATTCACCATCTCCTGGTGATTGGCCCAAAGTCACCCAACTGGCTTTCATGCCTAAAGGAGGACTAGAACTTTGTGTCTCCTGGTGATTGGCCTAGAGCAGTGGTTCTCAACCTGTGGGTCGGGACCCCATTTGGGGTCGAACGACCATTTCACGGGGGTCGCCAACCAACGCAGTCTGCCATTTTTTTCCCCCTTTTCCTTAGCTGTGCTACTCCCTTTTATTCTATTGGCTTTTGAAAGCCAATAGGAATTGTCCAGGCTGTCTCTGCCCTGCTGAGCCTGCCAAAAGTCCCATTCTGCAAACGATGCTGCACCAGTTGAGTAGTCCTCGACTTACGATCGGTTGAGTAGTCCTCGACTTACGACCGGTTGGCGGTCGCGGCATTAAAAAGGTTGAGAACCACTGGCCTAAAGTCACCCAGCCGGCTTTCATGCTTATGGCAGGACTAGAACTCACCATCTCCTGTTTCTAGCTTCGTGTCTTAACCACTTGGCCCTGTCACTGCATTGTCACCAAATTGCCTTTATTTTTCTCCACAAATTTGCCAGCTATTAAGATCCGAGAATGATAGCCATGTAGGGGAGCAAACAAAACTGGATTTTGAAATCTGATTTTTTTTTTATTGATGTTGTTGGTTGACTTGCTGCCTTACAAAAGAAGAAGACTTGTCAAACATTCCTCCCACACCACAAAGACTTTTGTTATGGGAGGTATATATAATACATGAAGCAGCTTATTGATGCACATCAAAAGTTTAGAGTTGCAATGCTGTTCTCAGAGGTCTGCACAGAATCTCACCTTTAAGAGTCTGTGCTTCTCTAACCATAGTTACAAAGTTCAAATGCTGTTTCAGGGAACTGAAATAGTAATACTTGGAATATTCCTGCCATGGCAATTAATTTCTTTTCTGTATTTCTGTATTCCTGGGTTGTTTGACCAAGCAAATACAAGCCTTAAATATAACGTGACTCAAGCTATAATCTGAAATGTAAGTATGCATCCCCCATATTTACATGCAGGTAGTCCTTAACATATGACTACAATTCGGCCTCAAATTCCATTGCTAAGCAAGACAGTTGTTAAGTGAGTTTTGCTCCATTTTACGACCTTTCTTGCCACAGTTATTAAGTGAATCGCTGCAATTGTTAAGTTAGTAACCCAGTTGTGAGGTGAATCTGGCTTCCCCATTGATTTTGTTTGTCAGAAGGTTGCAAAAGGGGATCACATGACCCCGGGACACTGACACCGTCATAAATATGAGTCGGTTGCCAAGCATTTGAATTTTGACTATGTGGCCATGGGAATGCTGCAATGGCCGTAAGTGTGAAAAATGGTCGTAAGTCACTTCAGTGCCATTGTAATTTCAAATGGTCACTAAATGAACTGTTGTTCATCCCATCACTCACTGCAACCATCATAAATGTGAACCAATTTTCAAGCTTCCAAATTTTGATGACATGACTATAGGGTTGCTGCAACAATCATAAGTCTGAAAAATGGTTCTAAGTCACTTTTTTCAGTGCAGTGTAACTTCAAACAGTCATTAAATGAAGGGTTGTGAGTCAAGAACTACTGTATGTGGCAGATCAGCATGGGTTGACCAGCCATGAAGGTCTTACTAGGACAGTGATTCTCAACCTTTTTAATACTGCGACCCCCCAACCGGTCGTAAGTCGAGGACTACCCAACTGGTCGTAAGTCGAGGACTACCCAACTGGTCATAAGTTGAGGACTTTCCCTGCCTGGGAGCTCCGTGCATGCCTGGTGCCGTCCCCTGCGCCGGCCGAGGCTTAGCTGGCAAGGGGCAGCAACGGCGCAGGGCGACCACTGGCTGGGCCACCAGCTGGCCCAGTCGAAGGGAGGTAAGGCACCCGCCGGGCCCCACGTGCGCCAGCAACCCTCCCTGTGCCCGCCAGCCTCCCACCTCCCACCCCTGGCCCTCTTTTACTTACATTTTTAGTAGTTGCTCAGCAGGGAGGGGTGGAAGCTTCCAGACAGCTCACCTTCGCTGCAGACAACTTGCAGCACCGTTTGCAGAATGGGACTTTTGGCGGGCTCAGCAGGGCGGAAACAGCCTGGACAATTCCTATTGGCTTTTGAAAGCCAATAGAATTAGACTCTATTCAAGAGAGTCTATTCTATTGGCTTTCAAAAGCCAATAGAATAAAAGGGAGTAGCACAGCTAAGGAAAAGGGGAAAAAATGGCGGACTGTGTTGTTTGGCGACCCCCGTGAAATGGTCATTTGACCCCAAATGGGGTTGCGACCTACAGGTTGAGAACCGCTGTACTAGGGTTTTATAAAGTGGTACTAATACTTTGCGTGATCTTGATTCTATGCCTCTGTTTATACAACCCTGGAGGTCTTCTATTCCAGCCCCCTGCCCAAGGTAGGAGTCTTTCAAACAGTTGTCCAATCTTTTCTTGAAAACCTCCAATGATGGAGTACCAAATACAAATAGAAACAAAGATAATAGGGGGATCCGAGGAAAAAAAAGAAAGGGAAAACAGGTGTGAGATCAAAGGAAACAGAAAAACAACAATTTCCAACTTTTTTCAGGGCAGGGCAATAGAACACTAAATAAAGTTAGAACTTCAACTTCTTACTTTACGTATTTAGGAATTTACATATTTAGCCATTTCCATAACAACAAATTAATCTAATCCCAAAAATCTAAATCAAAGTTTCATTTTTTTTTCTGTTTTGAATATAAAGTCCATTTTTTTTCTGTTTTGTCCCAGAAGCGATTTCTAATAATTTAATCCATTCTCATTTTAATGTCTAATATTTTTCTTCCTGATTCATTGAATGATCTTTGGGAATTATATTGAGAATAACTTCACAACTCTTTTCTAGTGTGTGTGTGTGTGTGTGTGTGTGTGTGTGTGTGAGAGAGAGAGAGAGAGAGAGAGAGAGAGAGAGAGAGAGAGAGAAGCAGAGAGAGAGAAGCTTAGAATAAGCCCTACTCAGATATCTGCAATTCTAGGGAGAAAATGTTGGCCTGTTAAGGCAGACCATAGAGGAAACAGGAGCATATGCAGAGAGACCTCAACGTACAACCACAATTGAGCCAAACGTTCTGTGGTTAAATAAGACAGTTGTTAAGTGAGTTTTGCCCCATTTGGACGACATTTCTTGCCACACTTGTTAAGCCAATCACCGCCGTTGTTAAGTTAGTAACACGGTTGGTGAAGTGAATCTGGATTTCCCATTGCTTTGCTCGTCAGAAAGTTCAAAAGGGGATCACATGACCTGGGTCATTGCAACTGTCATACATATACATCCGTTGCCAAACATCCAAATTTTGATCATGTAACCCTGTGGCTGCTGCAAGAGTTGTAATTGTGAAAAGCGGTCACAAATCACTTTTTCAGGGCTGTCGTAGCTTCAAACGGTCACGAAACAAATCTTCTTTTTTCTCTCTCGTTTCTAGCTTCAGTTGCAGTCCCTGCAAATTGTGTGCAGCACGTCTTGGCCGGAAGAGGACCTATGTTGTGAGATACCAGCTTCGGTAAGAATGGAGAGAAAGAAGTAAATTAGTTTGGTTCATTAGACGAGTGGTAGGCAACCTTGGCTCTCTTTTGACTCGTGTACTTCAACTCCCAGAATTCCTGAGCCAGCCATGGCTCAGCTTGGAAACCTCTCCCTTTCCCCTCAGCGTGGCTGGCTCAGGAATTCTGGGAGTTGAAGTCCACGAGTCATAAAAGAGCCAAGGTTGCCTACCCCTGCACTAGATGAAGTTCTGAAAAAGTGCAATTACGACTAGATTTTCAAATGACCTTTTTGAGAGCTGAGGTTCCACAGCATCTCTTCAAGGCACCAGTATGGACTGCTCCCTTAACAGCTGAAGGTAGACAGAGGTAAAGAGAAGCACAGAAGAGGGCCGAACTGTTGTGTTCCACAGTGCAGCGTTTCTCTTTGTGCAATAGGAGTCACGTTACTCTTTTTTTTTATTATTTCAGAGGGATGAAGAAGCGTGTCCCAGCCTGCTTCCTTCCTGCACCTGCACATCTGGCATCCCAGGACTTCCTGGGCCCCCAGGCCCTCCGGTAAATGCAGCGTTCAACAATACTTTGCAGGAAGGAAAATAGGTGGCTGATTCCTTATAAGAAAACATCGGCCTCATTCATGCAAAAAGAATTACACTATTGAACAAAAAGTAAATACAGGTCACATCACCTCTCTGAGTTGCCATATCATCAAAGAGAGGAACAGCCACCCCAATATCCTGAACAACATGCCTCCTGGAGGCAGGTTGTTCCACTGGTTGACAGTTAGAACAATTAACCAGTGGAACAACCTGCCTCCAAGAGCGGTGAATGCCCCAACATTGGAAGTTTTTAAGAAGAGACTGGACAGCCATTTGTCTGAAATAGTATAGGGTTTCCTGCCTGAGCAGGGGGTTGGACTAGATGACCTCCAAGGTCCCTTCCAACGATGATGATGATGATGATGATGATGATGACGACGACACAGATATGCAGTTGCTGGGCTAATTCATATGCAAAAATGCACATAAAGGAGATAATTTCTGAAGTTTAAAAGAATGTGATACCAGTCGTCCTTGACTTGCAATCACAACTGAGCCCAAAATTTCTCTTATAAAGTGGGACGTTTGTTAAGTGAATTTTGTCCCACTTTATGACCTTTCTTGCCGTAGTAGTTAAGTAAATCACTGCAGTGATGGCAAACCTTTTAGAGACCTAATGGCCAAACTGCAACCCAAAACCCACTTATTTATCGCTGGGTGCCAGGTGGGCGTGGCCCACTGGGTGGTCGTGTCTGTGGTGGTCATGGCAGATTGGGTGGGTGTGGCCAAGGTGGGCGTGATCACCTCGATGTTGCTCGTGGGGAGGGATGCCTGTGGGGGCCGGGCAAGGTTGGGGGAGATCCAAAGGGTCTCTGGCAGATGGGGCAGTGGGCAGGAGGCTCGTCCTGCGGGGTGAGGCGAGGCAAGGTGAGGCAGGGTGGGGGTGCCATTGTCGCAGGGCAAGGCGAGGCAGGGGCCGGGGCGGCTGCTGCCTGACACCATTGGCCCCCACACACAGAGGCCAGCGAGCACATGGGTGCTGGGATGCATCCAGCCATGTGGGACCTCAGCAAGTTAGTGGGTGGCTGGTTGAAGAGGGATGGTTGCCATCTCCGGGGCATGGCATGCATGCCCATAGAGAGGGCTCTGAATGCCACCTCTGGCACGCGTGCCATAGGTTCGCCACCACTAATCTGATTGTTAAGTGAATCTGGCTTGCCCGTTGACTTTGATTATCAGAAAGTTGCAAAAGATGATCGCATGACCCCGGGACATTGCAAACATTAAAAAATATGAATCAGTTGCCAAGCGTCTGATTTTGACTAGGTGGGCATGGGGATGCTGAAATGGCCATAAGTGTGAAAAATGGTCATAAATCACTTCAGTGCCATTGTAATTTCAAACGGTCACTAAATGAATGGTTGTAAATCGAGGACTACTGTATCCTGAAAAAGGAGACACTGATTCATAGTTACTAGGCCAGTGGTTCTCAACCTTTTTAATGCCACGACCCCCAACCGGTCGTAAGTCGAGGACTACTCAACCGGTTGTAAGTCAAGGACTACTCAACTGGTGCAGCACCGTTTGCAGAATGGGACTTTTGGCGGGCTCAGCAGGGCAGAGACAGCCTGGACAATTCTATTGGCTTTTGAAAGCCAATAGAATTAGACTCTATTCAAGAGAGTCTATTCTATTGGCTTTCAAAAGCCAATAGAATAAAAGGGAGTAGAATAGAAGAGAATAGAATAGAATAGAATAGAATAGAATAGAATAGAATAGAATAGAATAGAAGGGGGAAAAAATGGCGGACTACGTTGTTTGGCGATCCCCATGAAATGGTCATTCATGGGGATCGACCCACAGGTTGAGAACCACTGTACTAGGCTAATTCACATGCAAAAATAGCACATGAAGAAGATAATTTCTAAAGTTTAAAAAGAATACAATACATTTATCATGCTAGAGCAGTGTTTTTCAGTTTTGGCAATTTATAAATGTGTGGACTTCAACTCTCATAATTTCCTAGCCAGCATGGCCAGCTTGTGAATTCTGGGAGTTGAAGTCCACACATCTTAAAGTTTCCAGGTTGAGAAACATTGGGCTGTAGGAAAGGGGACAACTGTGGACAGCTGCAGCATTAAATCTAATTGATCCACCAAGTTTGGCATTGAATGCTTATCGTTGTACGACACCCTGGCAGGTTCCTGCAGCAGTTGTGAGATTTTGGCAAGCGCCGAATGGCCAATTCCAAGCAGCTGGCCTGAGGTGGGTTGCATGTGGCAACTGCACAGCCAATAGAATGGATGTCAGTAGAAGAAATATCTGCCTTCCCTCCAACTTCTGTGGTCTCCATGCAGCACAAAGATGGCAGGCCTGCCTATACCAGGGGTAGGCAACCTTGGCTCTTTTATGACTCGTGGACTTCAGCTCCCAGAATTCTTGAGCCAGCATGGCTCAGCATGGAAACCTCTCCCTTTCCCCTCAGCATGGCTGGCGCAGGAATTCTGGGAGTTGAAGTCCGCGAGTCATAAAAGAGCCAAGGTTGCCTACCCCTGGCCTACACAGAGTCAGTTCTCAATCATAAAGAGCCTTCTGCCTTGGAAAATAGATCCCTATGCAGGAAGTGTGTTTGTGTGTGTGTGTGTCTGGGTGAACGGGGTTGTATTTCATCCAGGATTAAAGGGGAAGAACAAGGAATCTCTTTTTGAGTGGCAGTACAGAAATCCTAAACACTCATTTAGGAAACAATGTTCTATTTATCTATTGGACAGAAAGGGAAAAAGTCTGATGCGTTGTGGGTGATCTCCAAGCAAGCATATAAACTCAAGAAAAGCAAATATTTGTAGTTCAATGTGGAAGGGAACCCTTTCAGAAATAGAAGAGAATCTCCACAGTTGAGGGTTGAATTGTGGAGTTCTTGCTGCTCTCTGAGCGTGGTTGTTTTCATGTAGACCAGACATGTTAAACAGAACGCCCGGGGACCGGATGTGGCCCGCAAAGTGGTTTCATGTAGCCCGCGAAGCCATCCTGGAAACAGTAAGGGAACGGCCCCCGCTGCCTTGGCCTTGGCCCAGGCCGGCCCTGAGCCAATGTACAATTTTGTGGTGGGTGGCCATCTTGGCACTTGCCCCGGTCCCATCCCCTTCTGCCAGAGACCCTCAGATCTGCCCCACTCCTACCCAGGCCCCCACAGGCACCCTTGACGCGAATGATGTAGAACTGGCCACGCCCACCCAGTAGGCCACACCCACTCCATCCACTCCATCTTCAGTGCTGGAAGGGAGTAGGGTTTTCCTCTGTGTATATTATACATGCAGTAGCTTGCTCAGAAACAAACAATAGACTACAGGCAGTCCTTGACTTACAACCACAACTGAACCCCAGATCTCTGTTGCTAAATGAGATATTTGTTAAGTCAGTTTTTCCCCATTTTATGACTTGGTCTAGGATGTCACAGTTTCCCACTTCCTTGTAACAATGATGATGTTACCTAGTTAGGTAATGAAACGTCTGCAAAAAAAAAAAACCACCAAGCACAGAGAGCGCCAAAGACCCCCCAATGAAAGTTCTGTTAAGAGTAAATTCCTAAGAGAAATTTGGAAGTCATGTTTTTATCATCCTTTTTTTCTTTCTTTCCTCTCTGCACTGTTTCTCTTTCTCTGGTCTTAATTATCAGTTTCAGTTAGTTTTTATCTTTCTTGCTTAAAAATCTGATTTAAGTTATCGATGAAATGGTGAAACCATCTGGAGGCCGGGTGGAAAAAGGAACATTATTGAAATGAGTTATCAACAGCTTCCCTTGTTCAGATATTTTTTTTTCTTCTCTTAAGCCAACTACGATATCATCAGGCCTTCTATTAAACAACATTTGTTGTTTTGATTTTGCGTTATAATTGGAAGCTACCTTCTGTGGCTTAGCATATGGTGGGAATTTAGTTGTGGCTTACTTAATAGACTGATTGATGCAATTTGCGGTCTTGTAAGCTGTCTAGAACTACACAAGTAAAGATGTATTACCCTAAAAATGGAAATAAATAAATGTCCTGATAAATGTCATTTTCTAATGAAATTAAATAGTCAAAATGATTATTTAAATCTGCTTCATCTAAAGCTACAAGGCCAGAAGTTTTAAGTAACAGAAAAGCAAGCTGTCTTGAAGTGGCCTTAGTCTTCTGAGGTTACAGGCAGTACTCAACTTACAACAGTTCATTTGGTTCAAAATTTCAACTACACTGAAAAAAGTGAATTCTTTTTCATACGACCGTTGCAGCATCCCCATGGCCACATAATCAAAATTCAGATGCTTAGCAACTGACTCATATGTATGACGGTTGCCACGTCCCAGGATCATGTGATCAGCTTTTGCGACCTTCTGACAAGCAAAGTCAATGAGTAAGCCAGATTCACATAATAATAATAATAATAATAATAATAATAATAATAATAATAATAAACCCCCAGTGAGGCACTACCTTGACGTGGTTGTGGGGTTTGTGTACTCTGAGGAAGATGAGAGCTATGCCAGAGGTTCAACCATACTGGACAGGTCTCATCAGAGGAGTCAGACAAAGAGTGTCTCTCCCATAAAAAATATGGTGAGATGTAAATTGCAGAATGCCATACCGGCTTGGACGTCGCCCGGGTTAACAAGGTTCGCGCTAGATATTGGAGTTCCCGGATATCTGGTGAAAAATGGGTTACAGGACTCAGGACTGTTGGCTGAGCAACCAGGGCCAGCAGCTGCAGAACTACTGGAAGAAAAGATGTTTACCCGTCGCAGATACACAGTGATTGAAAACAAAGAAATAATGACCTGTTACTACAGATCAAGTCCAACAAGAAGAGGATCATTTGCCTGTAAGCAAAAACTGGTGGGATCATAAAATAGAGAAAGTCATAGAAAATGATAAAATTAAACTGCTCTGGGACTTCAGAATTCAAACAGACAAGCACCTGCAACATAACACCCCAGACTTAACAATTGTCGATAAGAAAGACAAAAAAGTCTGGATAGTGGAC